ACAGAACCGTCGGAGGTCTCTCCATTCGCGACCAGATGGTCGGCCCCTGGCAGACCCCCGTCGCTGACTGCGCCGTCACGGCAACTTCATTCAGCCTTGACTCCAAGACTCGCACCGGCGAGGTCATGGCAATGGGCGAGAAGCCTCAATTGGCCCTCATCTCCCCCGCCGCTTCGGCTCGTATGGCCGTCGCCGAGAGTCTTCTCAACATGGGCGCCGCTGACATTCTGGGCCGCCTCGACCGCGTAAAGCTGTCCGCCAACTGGATGGCCGCCGTCAACCACCCTGGCGAAGGTGCTGGTCTCTACGAGGCTGTCCGTGCCATCGGCATGGAGCTGTGCCCTCAGCTTAAGATCTCCATTCCCGTCGGCAAGGACTCCACGTCCATGAAGGCCTCATGGAAGGACCGCGAGTCTGGCGAGGCCAAGAGCGTTACGGCGCCGATGTCCGTCATCATCACCGCCGTCACCGTCGTTGAGGACGTCCGCAACACATGGACTCCTCAACTGCGCCGCATTGAAGACGTCGGCGAGACGATCCTCATCTACGTCGACCTCGCTGAGGGCAAGAAGGCCATGGGCGGCTCCGCCCTGGCGCAATCACTGGGACAGATGGGCGACGAGGCACCGGACGTGCGCAACGTGGATCTTATCACGGACTACTTTGATGCTCTGCAGCAACTACACAAGAGCGGCATCGTTCTTGCCTACCACGACGTCTCAGATGGTGGTCTGCTGACCACGGTCGCCGAGATGATGTTCGCCGGCCGCTGCGGCGCCGACCTCATGCTCGACGGCATCGCCAAGTCCGGCTCCCCCAACGACATCCTCGAAGCCCTCTTCCACGAGGAGCTTGGTGCTGTCTTCCAGGTCCGCAAGGAAGACGAGACCAACTTCAAGCGCTGCTTCGCTACCTGCGGCCCTCCCCCCGGCCTCGTCCGCACATTCGGTGTCGTCCAGGCCAAGGGCAACCAGACCCTCAACATTCGCTACGGTGGCCACACCCCCATTGCCAGCCTCGACCGCGCCGAGATGCAGCAGTGGTGGTCTAGGACGTCGTACGCCATGCAGAGGGAGAGAGACAACCCGACATGCGCAGACAGCGAGTATGCCATCGTCTCTGACTCTGCCGACCCCGGTCTGTCATACAACCTCACCTTCTCCCCGTCAGAGAACATCATGCCCCTGACGGCCTCACTCGGCAGCCTCCTCCGCAAGGCGCCCCGCGTCGCCATCCTCCGTGAGGTAGGTGTCAACAGTCACAAGGAGATGGCCTTCGCCTTCAAGGCCGCCGGCTTCGACCCCATTGACGTCCACATGTCCGACGTCCTCGCAGGCCGCTCCCTCGCCGACTTTGTCGGTGTTGCGGCGGGCGGCGGCTTCTCCTACGGCGACGTCTTTGGCGCCGGCGTTGGCTGGGCCCAATCCATCCTCGAGCATAAGCACGCCCGCCAGGAGTTTGAAAACTTCTTCAAGAGGCCCGACACCTTCGCCCTGGGCGTCTGCAACGGCTGCCAGATGATCACCCGTCTCAAGGAGTTGATCCCCGGCACCGAGAACTGGCCCACATTCGTCGAGAACGCCAGCAGGCAGTTCGAGGCGCGCTTCGCCATGGTCAAGATCGACGAGTCCCGCGCCGCCACGCCCTCCGTCTTCCTCCACGGTATGGACGGCTCGTCCTTCCCCATCGCCGTCTCCCACGGCGAGGGTCGCGCCTCCTTCTCCAACCCCAACGCCCTTGAGGACCTGAGCGGCGAGGGCCTCGTGCCCCTCCGCTACGTCGACAACCGCCTGAAGGTCGCGGAGCCGGAAGCGTACCCGTACAACCCGAACGGCAGCCCTGGCGGTGTGGCTGGTGTCAGGAGCAGGGACGGCAGAGTCTTTGCGCTTATGCCCCATCCCGAGCGGACCATCATGGCGGACGTCGGCAGCTACGTTCCCACGGAGCAGGTCGAGGGCTGGGGAGAGTTCGGCCCGTGGGTCAGGATGTTCAAGAGCGCCAGACGCTGGGTGGGCTGATTCTTCTTCTTCTTTTTCAAATACTTCGCATCAACCTATCCCTGCCTGCCTGCTTACCTTGACACCGGCTATTCTATGCCTGTGAACAGGGGTGTTCAGAAGGGGAGAGGGGTTTCTACGTTTCTAGTAACAACCAACGAGAATGGTAAAATGAGGAGAAAGAGGCATGAAAAAAAGGGGGGTGTGTTGGTAGCACCCGGGTACAGCAGCAGCATCATCATTACCGACGGAGGAATGGGATATGAAAGCGGATTAGACAAAATCACACAAAAAACATTAACTTTTTTTGTTTTCCATGGAGGGCAGAGGTTGAACTTTTTTGCGTTGGTACTACACAAACATTACAAACATACACACAACGACTGGGATGGGATGGGAAGGGAAGGGGGTAAAAGGGAATTGAGAGAGCATTTGCGGAAGGGAAAGTGAGAAAGCAGTCCTTGTCCATAAGGTTTTACATACTTCATCGAGCATGACTTTGAGTTTGGAGGCTTCTTTTCAGTGGAAGTGTTCTTTTCTAGGTGACATATGTACACTCTGAACTTGTCTTTCCCCTTTCCAAGTGACCAAAGCATCCTGCTCGCCCTCGCAGAGAACATGGCCACAAGTCCGTGGGGTACTTTACGAAAGGGAAAAGAAGGGCAGAGAAGCAGAAAGGCCCGAAGATCCTTTCTGCTCGACCTATCTGCTTCCGGCCACAACTATGCAGCAGGGCGAGAAGGGAATCAGAAAGGGGTTTAGTAGCCAATTTCTTTCCTCAGGTCGATCTACACAATGAATGTGTTCAATGCATTCTCACCTCTTCGTCTACGGGACTCGATCGAATGGGGAATGGGCACGTTTGTGGAAAAGAGGCACGGCATACATAGTCCGTCAAGGGGGTTGGTTGATAAATGTGTATGTGTGTCTCTGGACCTGCTCCTATCCCTCTCAAGGGCTAGATCCATACTGTATCCATACTGGAAATACGCATGTAGAGCACACTTGAAGCGTTTACTAGTTGCTGGCACATACTTTCCGGGTGGACGTGAAGATACGTATAGGTGTAGATGTGGGCATATATGCCATCTTGTCACTGCGTCAACTCAACCATGTCTCTCACCTGGCTCTGAAGAACCGGGGAAGAAGATGTCGGGCGTGGTAGAGAGGGGGGGAGGACGACGATGACGAGGCCAGAGGGACTTTGTGCTGCAGGTAGGTGGATGCAGCGAACATCCGGCCTCCTTCATCCTTCGTTCCATGACGCCTACGCCGCAAACCCGAAGAAGGGGGGAAGGGGAAGGGAAAGGGGCATTCCACTCGGGCCATCTGTATCGTCCTTGATCCTCATCCTCCTCCGCCTCCCCTCCCCTCCTTGTATGTTGTTTCCGTATATGGGCTGCTGCGTCTGCTGCGTTTGGCTAGGAGGGCCAAGTAATCTGCCAGCCTGCTTGCCGGAGAAGGAAGATAGTAAGAACAGAGAGAGGGAGGAAGGAAGGAAGGAAGGAAGGAGTGGTGCCTCGCAGATTTGCATGGCACTTACGCTCACCGTCCTACAGTCGGCAAAACTTCATATGCTCCCCTCGGGAATCTATCTCACGGAAAGGATTCCCTCGCCTCGTCGAGGAGAAAGGCAGGAAACAATGCAGAAGATCTGTCATCTCCCCAATGATTCCATACTAGGAAGCGAGTAGAACTCATTTCAACTGTGCCTTACTGTCCGCTCCCTTCACTTACCCAGCTTTACGTACGAGATTTGGAACGAAATTCCTCCTTCGCCTCGGCAACCTGTCCCGATCGAGCTTACCACAAAAACAGACTGCGCTCCGCGGCCCGGTCTCCTTCTTCTTTCTCCCTTTCGACGGGTCCGGTGCCTGTCCCTCCAACATCATGCCAGGACAGGACATATGCTAGGTGCTTGTTCGAGATGGCCACACATCCAGCGCCCTAGACGATGGGTTGTCCCGACTGTACGGATAGGGCCCACTGGGCGAAAAAAGACGTGCTCAGACAGACACAGGGAGGCACGCGCCCGCATGCCACTGCGCTTTGCTCGACGGACGATGCGGGATACCATCTCCGCTAGTCGATGCCCACGTCGTCCCTGCACTGTCTGTGAGGGAGTTCGACAACCTCGCAACAGAGCGGCTGCAGTATAGGGAGTCGAGGGCACCCTCAAGGTCTTCCTACTGCATGTACGCGCGCTGCACAGTTGCGGCGAGGTACGCACACACATACACACCATGATTCCCTTCTTTGCAGCCACAGACTAACAGCCCATCCATCTTGTACAAAGCGTACAAGGCTCCCGGGGCTAAGAAACGCACGCAGACATGTCATTGGAAGGGCACATCTTCTGCAATGGTTGCGTTGACATCTTGGGAGGGCTCCTGCCGCTTCCTTCCTTCCAATGTACTAGTCCAATGCTGCAAAAGGAGGTAGCAGGTAGGCTTGTTACGCTCAAAAAACTCCTTTTGGACAGGTCGGGAAGGCCATCCGCATGGCGGCTGTTGATCGCGATGCAAGGCAGACGCGGGCATAGCATTCGCCCATCGGCTTCACGAAATTACCCTGTTGGCTGGGAAATTTGAAAGAGGCGCGACAGGTGCATAAGGTTCATTTTAAGTTGCCTTCACTCAAAGACCTACCCAGGATGGTTGGGCTTGCGGTGGCTCGTATTGACGCCCGTCTATTGAGTTGACCGAGAAGGCCTAGCACTGTGGGAGTTGGTCCCGAGCTTCCAACGGCTCCCAGTCTCCCGGTTTCCTCGAAGGGGGGGGAGGGAGTTCGTTCAGAGTCGAGAATGAAGAAACTGCGCAGCTCCGCCGTCCGATTTCAATATGCCTGACGTCCTCCCATTGTCTGTCTCCCTTGCCTATGCCGTAGGACGTGATCATCATAGACATGAAATGTCGGCTAGGCGGAGACTCCTCCAGTTTGACGGAGACTAGTCATACCGGAGCCGCAGCTGGCTGGGCTCCGACGTCCCGTAGGCATGGCATCCACCACTCGGATAGCTCGATGGCCGACCGCCCCCTTGAGAACCACAGATCATCCGCCGCCAAGGGAAAGGAAGAGAAAGTTCGTGTTGGCAGGACCATCATTTCCCCTCCCCACCGGTTGCCTCTCTAACATGTGGCGGGCCGTCGATGGATAGCATAGGAAAGATGGGCAGTTTGGGCCAGTCAAAGGGCCTCAAAGCAGCAAAATCTGAAGAGGCAGCTCCTCCATCGCAATGGCAAGGCAATATGTCCAGTGCCGATAGCCAATCTTGGCAATGGGTCAAAACTTTCTGGTCGTTCATACCACGGCGCAACGGCACTGGGGTCCCCATCATCGGCCCCGCCTCAAATCCACCAACATCATCCGCATAAGAGAGACCAGGAAGTCCAGGACCATCCCAGAGCATGCTTGGGGAAGCCAGCTTGGGCCAGGCACCGTAATTTTCATTTCCTATCGATGCGCCGCAAACGGTTGGATGCAGCATCGGGGTTCCCTTGGCTAAGCGCACAAATGCCAATAAGAACGACTGCCGTGGACAGGGCTCAGGTCCAGATTGCCATGGTGGTGCCATGTTGTGAAGACCCAAGTCCCGAAAGGTTAGACTGATGACCCCTGGCAAGCGTCGCCCGCAGTGCCGCAGCGAGTTAGCCTTACGGATGGACTCGACGATAATAAGAGATTGGTAATGGCAACAGACGAATACCGAGTTGCATAAGTACGTTTATTCCAGAGGAGGAGCACGCGAGAGCGCGCACACTCTGAGTCTCTGGCTGCCGCTCGTGCGGCGTAGACGGATCCATGGGACAGCCGTCCCATCTCAACGCCTCGTGGGCGCCCGCCATGCCACACTTGAGGATAGACGGCCCTCTGGTCTGGCCTGGGCTGGGCCGCAGACCAGCAGCAACGCTAGGGAAGTAGGCAAGTAGGATACCTACTATGATGATGGCGTCTCTGCAGCTGCTCGTACTGCTCCTCGTGGCGAGCGACGCGAGAAGAAAGACTGGCCGGATCATTGGGTTTCATACAACCTATACACAGGCTAGTCGCTGGTCAGACCATCTGACGCGCTGGACCGACGTTGGTCGGCATTGGATGCGATAAACGATCAAACCCCGATGACGGGCGCTCCGACGTGCTCCTCCATTAGAGGGTGAGCCAGGCGCCACACCCGGCTCATTCGGAGCGAATCCAGGGTCCCTTTTTCGGCGGTTTTGCGGTATGGAGCACTGGTAGGCTCTGAAGTCTAACGCCATGCACATGGCAAGTGCTCGTACGGATAGTGTACGGATAATCCGTAGGCTGAGGTGCTCACGGTAACAGTCTTCTCTCAGCATCCAGCCACCACCCCGTCATGCCGGAATTTGAAATGAGAAGCCCATAGCATCGGATGTTTGGCTTTCGGTTACGGCTACCTTCAACACCGTTAAAGGCCTAGTATGAAGTAAGCTCAAAAATTGTGCCTTGAGCTCCTCCAGATTCCAGTTGCAGTGGGCGAACACTCGAATGGATGGAAATGGCCATTCTTGGACCCTCATTTGTCTACACAGTATCCGTATCTGTACGCGGATATGACAACATCAGGGGCATTAGATGCGGGTGACGGCCTCCCAAGACCATGGTATCGTTGGATGAGCTAGCGGTTCGGATGCTGCGCTATCTGATCTCTGCTCACGCGGCTGGTGCTTTCGGTGCTTTCGGTGCGCTCGAACGGGGAACATCGGCTATCCATGAGTTGATGGAGGCATGGTCGCCCGCGGGAGAGCAGTGTCGGTAGCTGTTGAAGGCTAAAGTAGCGGCCGGCTGTGTGTCATATCTAGGATTACTCCCCAGTATCAACATGTCCGAAGACTAGGTAAGCTGGACTTGTCTTGACAGGTGACCCCCCAGTCCAGCCGTTGGTGTTGGGAAGCTTGGGAACCAGCGCCGGAAGCAAAATTTCCTTCAATCAGAACCACGGAGCGGTGGCTGGACTTGGAATGGCTCGAGCACATTGAGGGCCCACGTCATCTTCAGAAGGGGGACAACGGCTCCGAAGTGCAGGGCCCGGGGGGTGTCATCGCGGCCGGCCTGGGGATCTGCTCTCCAGGATTTCGGTCATAGATTTGGGGGTTTGGTGTGCAATACCGCGGCTATTCTTAGACGAAGCGGAGAGGCCTTTTTGTAGTGTATGCCTCAGTAAGCTGTTGTCCGCACACGATGTTACGCCAGCTTTTCAACGCAACATCGCATCTCTCAGTCCTTTCCGAAAGTCGTTTCAAACAAATGGCCCGTTGATCGTTCATCCGAACTCTGCTCAAGGAATCTCACGAGGGGTAAATTACCATACAGCTGCCGGTAATTTCAAGGAAACCCATGGTCTTGTGTCGCCAATATGTCGCGGATGAGCGCAGCAACAGTTCCAAGTACTTGTCACAAGACTGGTAGATTCCTCTCTGAACCTGCAGGCGACTAGTAGATTGCAATGCCAGGGACCTAGATATATAGGTAGGTGTTGACGGGATGGGTGCCGGACACATGGCAATCCGTACTGCGTAAGTAAGTTTAGGGAGTGGACGCATCGTGCCAGCCACGCCCGGAAAGCCCTCCAGAGTCCATTAGCCTTCGAGGTTCGACCGTGGTGGAACATGAAGCTGCCATCAGCTGTGGTAGAAGGCCGCATGGAACGTCGCTCGTACTGTGAGCAACGGACGGGCCCGTCTATCGTCAGCCACAGGCGTCCAATGCCCAGCAAGCATTCTAGCCTGACCGAGTCGCGAGCATGGTGAGCCCGTTGTTCATGCCCCCCGGGCAGGCTAGTGAAGAGGATTGATATCTCGCACCGCTGCCGCCCACACAAGGGATGTGACTTGGGGGCCGATCAAAGTGGAAGGTCGCTGACCTTGTACTTGGCTCCTCGCGGTCCCTCTCTCATACGATGTGTGCGCCAACCGCACCAACGAGCCCCGTAACACCTACATGGCCTGGGCGGCGCCCGTCCTGGGTGATAATCAGTTCCGCAAAGGCATGGCATTGTGGAGGATGAAGTAACGAGCCCCCACAGTACAGTTGGCTCGGCCCTTCGCCAGTATCTCAAGTACCATTCCATGGACGAGGGCGGCTGTTTAGCGTCCGATCGAACTGTTGGAGCCACTAAGAGCTTGATTCGCTTTGTGAAGCCTCTTTGGGAAACATGATCCCAGGGATGTTGAATTCCGCACCGCAATCTGCCCCTCACGTGCCAACTCTGAATTGTGCTGCTTACCTCAGTGGCTGAATTACCGTCCATTGAATGTAGAGGGTGGAAGACATGACCTCAGTATAACAATTGCCGAGCTGGCTCGGAGTTTAAGATCATGAGGTGGTGTGGCATTGGGTGTGCCTAGCAGAGGACTAAGTCTCGCGTCGACCTCAATCGTAACTTGTACTCTGTATTCGTAGACGTGTTGCCTTGCCGGTGCCGGTGCCACTTGACTCTTGTGTGTTGATTGTGTCGGTTTGTAACTTTGTACACGGCAGCTGCCCGATGCGCCGAATTGGAAACAACTCTTCTGTGCGTTGTCGACGGTACACTCTGGATCAGCCTCGCAACGACAGATTGCATGCCCTTCCTTTTTTTTTTCCCCTTTCCCCCGTCCATCCAAATTTTTTTGGCAACATACTTTCCACAGCCGTGACAGCCCTGGTCGTCTTCTCACTGCCGGCCTGTCGAGAGGGTTACAGTGAACTTTGCCCCTGCTGAGCAGCCACCGGAAGTCAGGCGGAAGTGGGGTTTCGGCGAATTCAATACCCATGGACGGCTCGTTCGCGAAGGGGTGTACGGAGAACGGGCAAGTCTGTGAGGGGCTCTTGGATGATGCTGACATGTAAACATTTGTGCGTACGCTGGATGTCGGCCGCAGTGATTCCACTCCATATTCCACGGTCACTTCTAGCCCAGCCTGCGTCTCAAGAGAACATCTGCTGTTGATCCAGACATGATATTGCAGTGCCGGGGTGCGTAGCAGCTCCGAGCAGATGCGCGATGAGCTGATCCCATCATAGATGAGCAGCAGCACACCGTGATGAATCTCGATGTGTGGTGATGGCGGCATCCCGTTATCCTGCTGCCTAACGACGATGTGGGGAACAACAAGACAGGGTGACAGGAATTTTGGAGAAGCCCTTCCCGGGAAACCGTTCAGCGGCAGCCATCGTCGAAGAATGCGATCGGGACATCGACCTGAGTTGGGCAAAGGTTGGCTGCTGGACGGAGCGCAATGCCGAGTCTAACTAGATACACCCTTGTTGCGCGCAAGGGTATGGCCCTCTGTGACCGAGCGATTACGAAGGGTTCAGGATGGTGAAGCGAAAACAGCACGCCTATTGGAAATATAGGATAGACAAGCCGTTAGTTCTTCCAAGTGTTGCCTCTATCGTAAATGCCGCTACACCTACAGGCTAAATAGGACCGGCTTCGAACAGATACATAGCTTCTGTTTGCTACCTAAGCAGAAGCGAAGCTCCCTGTCCCAGCTACCACGAAGGTTATCTACTGGCGCCTATTGCGAAAAGTCGTGCGTCTCCCACCGTGCAAGTTGATTACCGGCATCAAGACTCAACATGCCGCAGACTACCATCTCTGTTGAGGGTATGGCAATTGACGAGATACTCAGGCTAAGTTTGAATGATTAAGTCTCTATATCAGCCGACTATACGGATACACAAGTATAAGAAGGGCCTACCTTATACCAAGGGACGTCTGTGAACTAGCCTTACTGTCAGTTGATGGACTTGTAATACTCCGTATACACCTGCTAAAATCAGCGTAAACTTCAGAGCAGGTTCGAATCAAGGATTCGGCCCCTGAAACAGTGCTGCAGACAACAAGATGAGCGAGTGCACTCTGCTCCCAATTACAGGGCATGGGCAGACGCACCAATGCGGCGCGGTTGATGTGAAAGGCCAGTGTCTACACAATGTTTCTGTCTTAGCATACGCAAGGTGGGTTCGACGAAATGCCTCGCACCAGAGTAACAACAGAACGATGCCGAGACGCTGTGGTGGTAACCGCGTTTCCGCTATGAAATGCCACGTTTGTCTCCCGCCACCATCGGCTTGAGTCCGGAGTAAGCCATCACAGGCCGACTCTTGGTCGTGAAACTCGTACGTGCGTAACGGAGTAGCACGGCAGCCGATTGATGGTCCGGCTTCAGGACCGACCGGAAGACAGAATCGGGATGCAAGCTCGAAAAGGAAGTCGGTCGGTTGTCATACCTCAAGCCACAGATCGGCCTGAATCCTGCAGTTAACCCTGCTAATGTATGTGGTGTGCGCGCGCAGAAGCTCTGCAGTTTTCTAGAACGGCCAGAGAGGGACTCCCGGTGGCTGCTAGCGTCGCCCTTTTGCAGCCAATACTGGCATGGTCCTTGCATCGTGTAGGAGATTCCGGTGGAGTTGCGGTGACTGAACAGCTGTCATCCCATCTGTGACGATTGCCTGTACCAACCTGTCATATCTTCACAAGGCCACAGCTTCTGATTGTGGTCGGCACCGAGGTGAGGTCGACCTCTCTTAGAGGCTAGGACGAGGAATCAGTCAGAAGTCGCGAAGAGCGGTCGCAAGGTGGGCTCTAATACTGTGCCTTGATAGCCAGAAGAATAGAGCCTTCAATCAGCCGTCGTGTACAATTTACTATGTATTCTCGCCGCATGGGGCCGAGCCATCTGTTGGAGTCTGAGGACGAAAATTTCCGGATAGAGAAGACTGATTTTCCTACTCTGTCTGATTCGGACCGGAAGCTGTGGGACGGTAGTTACTCCAGAGAGCACTCGTACGCACAATAGTGGTATTTTGGTCGCTGTGGTTGCCTTCTTTGGTTGGGCAGATGCTTGAAACTTGCGGTATTCTAGGATAGATGAACGCCTGCTCGGGCGGGAGAACCAGCCACTTGCCCCGAGGAGACCAAGTCTAATTTGTCGATCTTGCTAAGAAGGCCCCTGTCAATAGTCGAGAGGGCTGAGGCTGGTCAATGAACGACCCCTGAACCGACGCATCAATAAGGAATTAGTGATGAAGAACTGCCGTTGCCCCGTCACACCTCTAACAGTGACAGATTCCTCTACCCAGGATTACACTGTGACCAGTACTCTCCATTGGCTATGCCAACTGCGTAGCATCATAGCTGGTATCATTAAGAACCGCAGCGGACCGTCATCGATGAGATCGCCACAGGAGCCGGTTTAGCAACTTCGTGTTGTAAACATGCCCTCTTGAGCGTTCCGCCGGAAAAGTGAACGTCATATTCCCAACCGTGGCATTCGTTGAGATGCTTTCTCGCGGGCTGACTTATAGGCTGGAAAAATTATCGTCGTAATTCAGACTTCCTGACCTCGGCTCGCAAAATGATGCTGCGGGAGGATGCGCGCAGTAGTTAATCAATGATTTCCCTTCGGCCTCAGAGAATCGCGAGTTCTCAACAACAAAAGCGCGGGGCTCTTTACGAGCGGCCGCCAGATGGGTCTAGCAAAAGGAAGAGGAGCCAACTGACGTGACAATTGATGGGTCTGTTCTCGTGCGGCAAAGACTGTGCATTTCCCTATCAACGGTCTCTCGGCCGGAGGGTGGGCGAGATATGATTCAGGGACTTTTGCGATGCTGTCGAACATGACAAAAATGTGAGCCCCTCGCCAAGTCTCGCTGGAGAGAAGGGGCGGCAGGCGGGGCCAGGCCTCGGGAACACCATCCGTTACGAGTGATGATGAGCAAGTCAGAGTGGTGAAACCGCGGAAACATGACTCGTGAAGGGAGAGGTTCGACGAGTGGCGTAATCAAGGTGAGTGACCGAGGCGCCCTTGGGCAACGGGCGCAACCCGAGTCTCGGGACTTTGACGAGATTCAGGGTGATATAAGGTGTGGTCTGGTCCATCTCCGGGACTTGTCACGGCATTTTACGAGGCGCTTGGGCGGCTTCTCGAGTGCCGAGGGTGGAGCGGTGCATTGGCAGGCGGGTGCTAGGCGAAAAGAGCCTTAAGCCGTGGTTGCAATAGCCCACAGCGGATCTCGCCCTTTGATCTCGTGCGAGTGAGCCCCGGGCGCGGCTGCAAATCCGGTGCTGTCCGGCTTTAAGAAATGTCGAATTCCATGTCGTTCATCGGCAGACGCCCGGGGCCAAGAATGTTGCGAGGATCAGGTTGAAAGAATACCCCATTTAATCTGCAGCACTGATCAGGCGATTGGGCTGATCGGACTCTCTCGTTTGCCGAATTACGAAGACGAGGTGGGTTAGAGACCTTTCTCAATTTGCAGTGCTCCCGTCGTAACAACTAGCGCGTAGTGATCCTGGGCGCGGGTGTGGGTGAGGTAGTGTTGTTGGTGGTGGTGGTTTGCCGGTGTTGGCGTTGGTGTTGGCGCTGGCGTCGACCGTCGAAATGGAGTGGCCGCTGAGTGGATGCCAATCGTGTGGTCCACGAGCCCAAGCTAGGATATATCGTACCCTTTCAGCGAAAGATATCCGTAGGTCGGGTGAGTGTCGAGATCCAGTTCCGGGGTAGGATTCACAGTGTTTGCGTCTCTGTAGTGTATCCGTACGGACACGCCATCGATTCGAGCGCATCGATGGAGGTTTCCCTCTCGCCTCTGGTATGGAACCACCAGACGAGCAGGGCGGACGCTATGGATTTCCATCCATGGCAAGCTTGGTATTAGCTCGTTGAAATGCACATCGGTAAAAATAAAATAAAATAAAAATGCCTCTGTGATCTGTCTGCTGTAGTGGGCTGGCCCAGGCTTGGTCAGACAGGCTTCTGAGTCCTGCGGGCTGAGCAAGCATCGAGGTCTCGGCATGGCTTGGATAAAGGTGGCCCTGGACCTGTTGGATGGGTGTTGGAACTTGAATGCTCGCGAGAGAGAGCGAGAGAAAGCGAACCTGGGAGGGGGAAATTGCCATCACGGCGTCGTGGACTCGTGGGTCTGGAGACAATGCCAAAAGGAGGGGGTATGTCCTGAGGTGCATGCAACCATTTCCAGTCCCTTGGGAATTGCTGTCAGCCAGGGGGGGCTAGGCGTCTGGCGCCATGTCTCTCCTTCTTTCTCGAAGCGAGTTGACTAGTAGGGGAGCCGGTATGGGTGAGGGACAGGAGTTGAGCCGAGCGTGGGCAGTGGGATTAGCCCGGTGGAAGATTGTGCCAGATTTGTGCTGCGTTTGTAGTTGTTGGCTTTATGTTATGGAAGTGACAGGGCGCGTCTTCACGGATCTGCCAGTGGACCCTGTCATTGAGGAAGGGAAAGACACGATGTGGCCTGTGCGAGCAACTCGGGCAGGCAAGCAGTGATGGTTCTTTCCTCGAACTAAGGTAAGGTAAGGGACCTGAAGATATCCGTAAATAACTTACGTAAGGCAGAGTACTGGCCCGGCTACCGAACCTCTCGATCTACCAGTAAGGTAAGCGACCTCACAGTACCTTAAGGTACCTTGCGGATACCAACGAGGAATCACGTATGTACCAATGGGGCGATGCAAGAGCACCGAGGTGTATGGAGTACAGAACACGGATAAATCAATCTTGCATCTGGATATTGTATGTCGTCGTTTCCACCAGGGAGATCGGGACGGGGAGACAAGTAGTGTATGAGAGTTCACAACTGCCGGCCTCTTGCAAAGTTTGAACTCACCGGGCACGTTGGTCTCCACATCGTCGACCGCCGGCCCCCGTGTCCGTACCCGTAGGATGTCCGCAAGGGTAACAACGACGGGGGTTTTTTGTAGCTTAGGTATAGCAGACTTCAGGTTAGCAATACGGTACTTTGTTTAACTCCATGATGTATACCTCGTACTGCGTACCGCTGCCGTACATACTACCTTGTCTTACCGCAACAGCCTACCTTAATGGCACAGCAAAGAACATTAGCCAAGATCGGTCGAAACCTTTGACAATTGAGCACTTGTTCCCGAATCCTCGTCCTGAGATAAAACGTTGCCTTCCTTTCGGGGCAGGCAGGGACCTCAGCCAAGCCCATGAGTCCACTTCGACTTCTCAAGGGTTCTAAATAGTAAAGATACCTGGCCAAGAGGCATCGCAAACCCAAGGGAGCATGGAACCTGGGGAGGCGTTCGGGCAACTTGCAAGTTTCCCGTCTCCTTCCTTATCTATCCATGCCCTTACGACAGGTGGCTGGCAGGTGATACCTTATGGATATGATGGGCCAGCTTTCCGCAAGCGTTCCCCTTCCCTGCCCAGGTCGAGCCTGAGGGTCCCTTCCTTCGTCCTCGCTCGCTCGATGTGTGGCGCCGTGGATGCCTCCATCCTTCCCTCCTTCCTTGCTCGTCAATGGACCCGAGTGGGAAGCCACCTCCGCCTGCCGACCCCCTTCCTGTCGCCAAAGCATGCCTCCCGGTTTGGCCGGCCTAAATTCCAGAATTCCGGAATTCTTCTTCAGGGATCGACTCTACTCCGTACGGATAGCACTCTAGCTCTTTCTTCGCCCGGGCCATGTTGAATGGGCAGGCACTGGCAGGCCGCAGCACGCACCGCGGGAACCTGGACGGCCCTTCCCTTTTTCATTTGATCATCACATTTCCGAGCAGGGCAGACACGCAGGGTAGGGGCCCTTGCCTCATGCAATTGCCAATGAAACCTATCACTCGTACCTGTCTAGTTCGGTTCTTGCTCCAAGTTGCTCTCTCCCGCACGATTCTTCAACACGCATTTCTTTAATCAATTTCTTCGTCATGTCCGCTGCCGTCTAATGCACGGTGCAGTGTGCACCCCTTGAGTCAGGGTCCTTCCCGCCCAGGTTTGATCCTCCTCACGTATGACTTATACACGGAGATACTGAGCCACCGAGGACCGGCCTACCAAGATACCTTTAGGTACGTCTCTGGACTCGTGTTTGTAACGCCTCGATCATCTCAATAGCCATGTTTTCTTGTCTTAGCCAGAGGCGCTTCAGCTTAACCCAGAATGTCAATTGCGAATCTTGGCAAGTAAAGCACGCATAGATGCATCGGTATTGCAGTGGTCTAGTCCGCAACCTAGGCCCTGAACTTGTTCGATGCCTTGATCAAATATCGAGACAGTGGGATTCCACTGTGTGTATTACACCATTATCAATCGAGGTGCAATGACAACTCTGCCCCGGGACTGTTCCGCCGGCATTCGCACAAGAGACTGCGTAGGACATGTTTCCATAGGCCCATAGGCCCTCCGCCATGGATATCTCTTCAAGATTGGAGTCACAGAACATGACCTTGCGACTCTTGTGTCAAGGTGCCTGAATAAGAGTCGCCCGTGGCCTTACTAAGAGCCACGATTTTGACGTCCGCTTATTCTGCCAAGAAACATCGAGGAGTCATGATCCTCTGGCACCCGTGCACTGCCGTGTTAGTGCACAATCATTGTCTTGAGCTAGAGCCTAGAGGTGAGAGCGTCAGCTAGCGGTTATCGAAACCATTACCTCATTGGGACTTAGCTGTAATGTGGGTCCATTTCCGAGCAAAGTGGCTGTCTCTGGTCTCAAACCGACGTCGGTCTTCTCCATGACATTGAGCGATTGAGCACCTCATCGGCGCGCTACTCCCTCCGTACACGTGTATTGTGTCTCGTTGCTCGACCAGTGGAATGGACCCCCGAGCACTGACGACTTTACCTTACCCGTCTCGCCCGCCCTCGGATCACACACATGCCCCGGGATTTCCGGTTTCCCGGCTCGGGAGTGAACCTGCACAACTACGGAGCACCTTAGTCCAGACCTGTCATTGTTCTGAACTTCTCCCGGCTGTTGTGAGTCGCTGGCATGATCTACTACATATCCGTACACAGACTTACCTGCCTTGTGTGTCTCGAGAAATTGGGAGGCAACTTTCCGTCTGCCGTGCAAAATCCCCGTTCCCCGGACGGTCTCGCACTTCTCGTAGACGGTAGAGACACAGTTCATTGCCTTGGCTTTAGCGCAAGGGAAAAATCGGGCATGCAAATGCGAGCAGAGATAGATCATGTATTTTTCTGCGTACAGTCGAGGAGACACGAGCCTAGGCCTTCCCCCTTCATGAAGGAAGTGGTAATTATTAGGCTAGGAGATGAAAACATGGACCAGCTGAAAGTGAGTCTCGCGCCCACGGTACTCAGCATTCCGTGCAGGCAGTCTTTATGCAGGCCATTGTCTAGATCGAGTCGGAATATTACCTCGGTCACAAGCGTCCATCACGGATAGGCGAGCATCTATGGGAGGAGAGGAGTTCATGCTCGCTTGCTATGCGGTGTTGTATTGCATAATGCTGGGTTGCGTTGCGGCTGATGCCACTGCTGTAGTGTAAACAGTTGACGTGGGTCGCAGACAATACAACTCGGTCATGCGCAAGCTTTTTGCGCAATTTTCTCTCTCAGGGGCATTTTCTGACCAAAGTTGAGTTGCCTTGGGCAATAAGCTGATAATAATCGAATGGTAATCGGATGCAGAATGTCTTTACTTTCACCAAAGGAAGGTAGGACGGGGTGTGCCCGCTACAGCGCGGCGTTCGGCGGGATCCAAGATGCAACTAGAATGGCAATGTCTCTTCCCACATGTCAAAAGTTATCCGTACGGATGCCTACCTTCTCGGCACACCTAGAAACATTTGATGGACAGGCGTAGACGTATACTCAGTCATTACCATGGGTGTTGAATAGAAAACCCTTCTCAATAACAAGCATTACGAGCAACCTTTTTACCTAACAAGCTCGCAAGCGCGATCCCCATGCTTAAGGTTTGATGCCACCCTACGGGACCTGCAGCTACCCTCTTGGATACCCATACACGGCATCTTCTCCGATGCTCCAGACGGACCAATCGCTCGGCAGCGCTCATTGCTAGAGCCTAGAGCATGCGGAAGCCTGAACCACCTGAAGGTTGAATGAGTCTATCCTTAGCTTACTACGTAGTGTGAGGCAGAGGGCCTGGGGAAGAGACAAAAAAAATTGCACGCGGAGACTCCCTGTGCAAGAGGAAAGGGGGTTGCCTTTCCACCTTCCCCGTCGAGGAGACACCCGCCCCTAGGCTGCCTTGGGTGGTAGCTCGCTTAGATGTCTCGTCGCCGGATACGTATCGTGCACCATCTCATCGACTGCGCAATGTACCTTACCTTTGTACTCTGTACTCCCGTCTACAGATGCATCTGGGGTGGTTCCTTCAAAGCTCACACCTCACCGCTGACGTTCAGCTTCTCTCCGAATACACTGTCGTTCCCACATCCTCACCGAGCTAAACATGGCGAGAGAACCCATACGGGCCTTGGCGGTCTTGAGTACCTATCTGTTACTCTGCGTAAGGCGAGCGCGCTACTCAAGCATCGAGTGCCTACCTACCTGACCCTAAACGCCCCAGGTCCTCTTCGCTTCGCGCCGCGCCACCCCAGAATTCTCTCACCTGTATCGGAAAAGTACAGAGGTACCAAGCCCTCTTTCTCTCCTCTCCCTCTCCTTCTCGTCCGTTTCGGATCCGGGTGCGGTGCCTCATCAACGACAAACCATCGCCTGTCTCAGCCTGGGAAACCGAGGGACTTTTCATTCAGGGAAAACTGGGTTGCGTTGGTGCACGTTGACGACACTTGCATTATTAAGCAGCATTTTCCCTGCACATCACTTCTAATTATCCAAAAGTGCTCCGTCGTCCGACTCTTCAATGCAACGCAACCCCAGAGTAACTGCGGCGTTGACCGGTCCGTTGCGACTCTTTGGAAGCATAACCACATCTGCCAATCATGCCAGCCTCATGCTGTCTAACTGTTAACACCCACTGCACTTATTGGCGCTCTCTATGAATACCTACATACCTCGGTGCCGCCACATGCAGTCGCAGAATCCGCCGACGCCGCCGAGATGAGGGCCCAAGGTGGAATGGAATGCAATGCCCCGGGCCTGGTGGTGGCCGTCTTTCTTGCTTACAGGCGGCTTTCCACCATCACCCTAGCCAAGATCTTCCCTCGCCTCTTGCTTGACGCTGCGGACACCAAAAGTTCCTCTCAAGGATTCCTCGACTAATACTGTATCTTGCCACTACAAAAAAAAAATAAAAAAAAGGGGGGGGGGGGGGGGGGGGGGGGGGACAACGCTCTTCATGGTACCTTGTTTTCGGCTGCAAAACTGCAGAGGCCAAGACCTTCGGCCGGTCCCAATGACGGAGGACCTAACGACGGACGGGCAACTCGGACTCGGAGCCACGGAAAACTCCCAGCTACCGACATCGAGAACGAATGGGGGGCAGCCTATCCGTCCCCAACCACAAGGATGGATGGACATGGACGCTAATCACTGAAGCGGGCCAGCGGCGCCATCACTAATGATTTTCGTTACGATACACAACCGACAAAGACCAACGACTGGCTCCAGCCTGCCTCTCTTTTCCCCCCTGTTTGTTAGCGTCGATGCTACTGCTTTTGACGGCTGGCTGGTGGGCTGTTACCGAGCCCGAAAAACACGTCTCGTTCTTGGTCTGTCTAGTCCTGTCTCGTCTTGCCAGTTGATCGTCAATCCAAGACTCTGAGACGCTGCCAAATCCGCCGCCAAGACGAGTGTTTGGTCGGCAGGCATTGATCTTGGCCAAAGGCTCTGTCTGATTGCTGATAACCTATCACTGTGTCTGGCCAGTCGTCTGGTCATTACTCTCCATCCTTCCTTCAGCAATGTGCCTTAGACGTTCTCACGGAGTTGAAATTAAGAGAGGATCTATCGGTTTGCAGATTGGCAACAGCCCCTTAGATCATACGATGGCAGTACAAGAACACTAAAAAAATCCGACTGAAGGAGAATGGTTGATGTCGTTTATTACAACCCTTCAAGACACGATACATGTGCAGATTTTGTGCATGGTTCGGCAAGCCTCGGTGCGGAATTCCTTCTCTCGAGCTCCATTATCACGCCGAACTGTGCTCCTCTCTGCGCTCGCTGCACGCTGCGCTGCCGGCTGCAGGCCAGCTCAGGTCCGGTCCAGATCTTCGCAGCCCCCCGTACCGTCACAGTGTACCCAGGGGAATGGGATCCGCCTAATGAAGACATGCCGGACTCGTCTTATTAGCCTCTGCTATCGCTGCAGGGGATCCAACCTTGTCGTCATGGAGCCCGCAAGGACGTTGTAAGAACTACTTTAGTAGCTCCCAAGACAGGCAGGTAGGTACTTTTGCGTCACTGACTCCCACGCCAGATGGTCAAGTACCTTTTCCCTCTTTCTCAGTTCTCACTAGTCCACTCATTGCCTCGTTGTGGTTGATGACCCAGTGCCGTTTCAACTCAAGAAAAGAAGAAGGCCGGCGGGCCAGCAACTCTATCCGATGCACAAACCGCACAGCGTTTGGGTAAAGTTAACCCCATCTCAGAACCGGATACGGATATTGCGGTGCTCTACACCTGAGCCGGGATTGGGTCGATTCCCTCAGCGTTCATCCAAAGTCTACCGGACTATCATCAATCATACTTTATACCTACCGAGGGTGTACACACGAACATACTATATGTGCAT